GTCTGTCCAAGGGACCCCAGGCTAAGTTTCCAGGACAAAGACTACAGGAAAAGTACCATACAACCTAGAAAAAAATATCATAAATTAACAAAAAGCAGGCAACAACTTTGAAGGGATGAAAGGACTTTGTTAGTTCATTTTCTAAACTGGGTTGAGTTGATAGGAAGCTGGGGCTTCCTCTCTAAGATACTGTGCCTCACTACTCCTCCCTACCCTGGCAGCTGCCAGTCCAAACAATAAGCCACCATGACCAAATGGGGTTATTTCTGACTTTCAAAATGTTTCCGTAGGGGCAGGCAATACTGCCAGTCACTACCACTGAGGAAGCCGAGCCTTTCCCCGCTCTCACCACTGGCAGGGTCCTGAATACCTTCCCTCAGAGTGGCTGTGCCTTCACTTCTACGTGGATCCATGCTCCCCACTAAAATCTTTCACTGTAATTATTCTTGCCTGTTGCCTGACTACAAAGGTTTTCTGACCTCCAAGAGAGATTTCTACTTTAAGAAATCCTGTAGCAACAGTCTTCAGAATCAATTTCTTACTGTGGTCAAAGACACCCATCACACATTTCCAAGACCCTCCAAGACTGTCTGTCCCAAATGCCTCCTAGCTAGCCAGCTGGCAAACTCATATAGGCCAATCTACACAAGTCTGTCTCTGCACTTTGCCAGAGTGTCTGGAGCAGCACTGGGAGGTGTGTGTGGGGGGTGGTCTTAGGCACAGTTTCCAACACAATGGGTCTGGGGTAGGGCTCAAGGCTCAGCGTTTGAACCAGGCTCCCAAGACAAGCCCACACCACTAGTTCAAAGTCCACACTTTGAGTAGCAAACACCAGGACTCTACTGTAGCACAGTGTCTGATGGCTTTTCATCGGTCAACACACCCTGGACCATCCTAGAATGACTCCAATCTTCTATAGGTCACCCTGTTGACCTACAGAAACCTCCCCCCACAACCTCACTTATGATGGCAGAAACTCACTTTGGAATTCTGGCAATAAATCAGGATGAATCCAACTCCAATAATAAGAGTGGATAAAGTAAGAGGACAGATTCTAGAAAAGGGGTCTTGTACGTGTGGTCCATCTTCACCCTGTCGGGGCAGAGATGGATAAGGTCCACCCACACAAGTGGTTTGAACTGTGTTCAAGGAAAGCAAGTTCCCATGCCTCTGGTGATGACGAGCGTTATAATGGAGATGGTGGTGATGCCCACGATAACAAAAGCTAACATTTCCTGAGCCCTTTTACACGCCAGGCCCTGTACCACACTAAGTGCTGTATGGATCTTATGACTCACTTGGCTCCAAGAGGGAAATGGGAGCGGTTAGGAGATGTTTAGAAAAAAGGGAAGGCACTGTAAATTCCAGGGTGTGCAGAAGGCCAATCAAGTGCCAGTGCAGAGGGAGAGGACACTTCTCACACTGTCCCAGTCTAGGAAGACTGAGGAAACTGTGAACTGTTTGATGTTTTAGGAAACACCCTTGGACTAAGTAGGTTGATACCACAGACCAGGTCCATCAGGACACACCTGCTGTCCTGTGCTGTTACTCGTCACCTGATGTGATCGAGGGAAGCCTGCGCAAGCTTGGTTCCATGCAGGTGCCTTAGGAGTGACATACCCGGACAATGAGGGGCTTCCTTTGACGGGTTCTTCCTGTTGCATCCTGGGAGCAGAGCCCAGAGTATTGCTTGCTTAACGAGGTCTGCCACATCTGATGCTACCCCAGATGTCCGTGGATCTCCATACTGACTTCTGCTTCAGACACAAAGACCCTGTCCATATCAACTGGACATGGCTTATATCGGAAGCAGTTGCCCTCTGACAAGGAGAAGGTTCAATGGCCATTCCTTTCCTTTGAGTTGGGCCTGGGAGAGCTTCAAGCCCAGTGCTCTGTTAGAGAAGACAGTGCAGGCTGCACTACAGGAATCCTGACTTGGGGGAATGAATCAGATGATGGTGGTGACTCACAGCTGAGTGACTTGCAAACCAGTCTCATTAGGCCACCACAGTATTTAAAAAGTTCCAGTGCCCGCCATCTTGTCACAGTCTAACCATTCTCTATCTTCTTAGCCCAGACCACAGGCAATGTTTGTTACCTTCCTGCACCTGCATGTATGTGACTTTTAGACCCTAATCTACAAAAAGAATAAATCGCTTAAAGATTTTATTCAGCCTCTAAAATTTCAATCTCTGTACAGTGATTTGTTGCCCTAAAACTTAAATGATGAGATGTCATACGCAAGCTCTTAACACTACTGAAGTCTCATCTCAGTGAAGGACAGACTGTTGATGAGAATCTGTCTGGGTAGCTCGCTAATTCTTCAGGATCCCTTGGGTTTGCTCATTCCCATGGGGGAATTTTCTCAATATCTCAATCCTAGAAGGCAGACAGCGAAGCCTTCACCTTGCTCCAGCCGCTTTAACGATGGCGTCTGCTCAAGTTTCAGAGAGGAGAATGGTCACCTCCCTGTACGCAGCCCCCCTCTTGAGAAAAAGAGCCCCAGGTTCATCGTCAGTAGTACTTGCTGAGCAATGCACTGGCTTTATCGGAAGCACAGTACCGGGTGACAGTATTTTGAGGGGACATCATAGGCTTCCTCGCTGTGTCACACAAACATGACAGTGCCAAAGGATAGGTCATAGGAATGGTGTCGGCCCATCAGGGCTGCAAAACAGCGGGGTCAACGCGGTAAAGCATATCCTCCGAGACATAAGTGGTTTCAAGGAATCCTCTAAACTGCTCTGTGATGCAAAGGTGGTCAGCTCCAGGACAGCAATCTCTGCTCTAGAGACAGCAGGTAGACACAGAGCCGATACTTCCAGCCTGTCAGCATAGGGACTGACTTTCTGGATGAAGGCTGCTCAGCCCTCCCCTCCTCCCTACTGCCGACAGATGGTCTTGCATTTGCAGTGGCTTCCCACCTGGCTCCACACCCAAGGTGCCAATGTACAGAGGTCATCTGGATGGGCTGGACCCTGGGACGGTTAACTGAGTCCAGCTCCATATTTTTCCTTTCCCCTCATTCCCACACTTCTCTTCTATGTTTTGAGTTTGAAGCTGGCAGCACTGTGATCTCTGGAGGGAGGCCAGGCATGGTGGCAGAGCCCTCTGAGGCCAGTGGGGATTGTGAAAAACACTTCTTCCTAGGCCTCAGGAGGCAGGCGATCAGCAGAAGGGTTGAGCAAGTCCACCCAGAGGCCTGGGGAAGAGGGGAGGACAAGGGCTTTCCTACCATGCACAACTACAAGAACTCTGGCTGGCCTGGCCAATGGAGGCCTGATGATGCAGACAGAAGAAACCGACTGGGAAAATGGCTGCGAGCAGGGGAAGAATATTAAAGAACCAAGATGCGGTTAGCTTTTGCCGATTTCACCCCAAAATTAATTAAAAGGAAATACAGGTTTCTGGCAGTAGTCAGGTATATAAATAATTCCCCAGCTTACTTGTTTTAGAGTAGACTATCTACATTTTGTTTTTAAAAAGTAAAACTCCTCAAACAAATCCCAAACGCACTACAGATAAACACCCACAATATACTAACTAGAAAGCTGTGCTTTAACTACATAAAGAACAGGCCTGCTGTAGGACGCCTCTCGTGGCTGCTGTGCTTTCATTTTAGAAAACAAATGTCACAGGCAGCCTGGGGAGGAGCCTCACTCTGGGCCTCAGCTCACAGAAAATGGCCACCAGGCCAGGAGCTACTGCAGCACAAACGGGGCACCCCAGACACCTCTGGGGCCACAGGCACTCCCATCGTGCAGAGACACAGAGAACCTTCTTGAGCTTGGCACATAAACCCTGCCTTAAAGGTATTTGTTTGCTGAATAGCACAGAGATTAATCACCAGAACTCATATCCTCTCCCGGAGCAAGGAACCTCACGAGGAAAAAAGACGTCATTTTTAATGGAAGGTAGTTGCTGGGATTGGAAGAAGAACTCTTTTTTAAATGTCACAAAAAAAAAAAAAAAAAAAAAAAAGACGTCAATAAGTGTTTCTTAAAATAAGAGAGCAGCACGAATCATCTTACCAGAAACTCGTTATAAATAGAAAAGAAAGTCTTAAAATAGATCATTCAAATGTGACAAAGAAAACATGGCTTCATGAAAAATGTCGACAACAAAAACAATATTGAGAATAAATATACAACAGAACAGGTAGTGGGTTTCTGCTTAGGAAAAAATGCTTCTGTGCAAAAAGTCAGCGTACCGTGAGTGGTGGCTAGAGTCACTCCAGAACTGCTGGACCTTGACAGGAGAAATTTAAAGGTCAAGGTCTTGCTTCTTTGCCCTAGTTAGCATGCAGACCACAGGGCCAACCAGGTCCCTAGTGTCCCAGAAGAACCCCATTCAGGACTTCATTTCAGGGCCGACCGACCGACAGTGGCTTTTGCAGTCTGTCCTAAACACCTCCACCTCCTCAAAGTGGCCCTTCTGTCTCCTCCCATTAAAGCAAAGGTGATGCTTATATTAAGCCAAGGGAAGGGAAGGGAGAAGACACCCAGGAGCAGGCGTGACTTTGACACTTTAAGCTTGTCCACCAAGGAGGTCAAAGTCACACAGAGGCGGCAAAGGTTGGTCTTCGCTCATGTCAGGGACATGTCCAGAACATCTACATGTAACAGGGACAGACCAGAAAGCTGATCATTTTTACACAGGAAATCCTCACTTCTCTCTAGATCTAATCACCATCCAAGGAGAGCAGATCAGAAATCTCCACGCTCACCCAGAGATGCACGGAAGTTTAGGGAGACCATTCTGAACATGGGATTCCCTTGCCTAACACGATAATAAAAAATAAACTCAGCTTTGTTTTTACTGAATTGGAAATCTTATCTAATTGTAATCAACTCTAAAAATAGTCAGAAGTGGTTCTGCCACAAGAAAATGCACACACACGCACACACACACACACACACACACACACACACACAAATAAAACAGGGCTTAGAAACAGCAGCAACTCACAGAGCAGGAAGTGACAGCCCACGTCTTCTTACCTCGCACAAACACCTGCCTTTGTGGGCTGCTTAAATAATCCCAGGATGTCCTTCTAGGATTTAACACGGCCGCCACGGGACTGCTGGGGACAGTGCAGCCTGGGATGAAAACACACATGGCAGTGGCCAGCAAAACGGGTGTGTGTTCTGGGTTTTCCTCTTCATACTCCTTCACAAAATGTTTAGGTCCTCTCAAAATCAAATGGCAGCATAGCTTAGTCATCTTCATAAAACGAAAGAGGAAAAATGCTTTTATTTTTTTTGTGGTGCTGGGGATGGAACCCAGGTCCTCTACCACAGAGCTATATCCCAGCCCACAGAAAAAAAAGCTTTTTTGGGGGTGGGGTGGGGGAGGGCAATCTCTTTAAATTGCCTTTCCCAATTTCAAAAGAATTTTTTTGGACTACCTTAATTGGCAAGAATCCAAAGCGTCTTAGCTAGTCCTGCAGTTCTGCATTGTGGTGCCCTACTGTGCGCCTGTCAGAAGCCCAGTGGTGCTGGGGTCAGCTCTCTTCTACCCACAATTCTGCCCCTTTAGGCTTCGCTGCTGGCTGCCTTCCCCTGCCCTGGGTCCAGACTGGGATGCGACACTGGGTTTTATTTCCATTTTCACTGTGTGACCTTGAGCAAGTCCTATGGCCTTTCTGGACTTCTGTTTCCTTCTCTGGAATGTGGAGAGGCTGGGCCTTTTTATTTCCAAGGTTCTTTTTACTTATAAAATTTGGCAACCATAATGGCTGCTCTTCCTCCCCCCCTCCCCATTTTGTCATCTTTTGACTGACTCCCTGCCAGTCCCAATCTTTTTGTTAAGGGTCTTCATCTCCTCCAGAGCAGATAACCTGCCACCCATTTATTCGTGCACGTTCCTTGAAAGTGTATAGGACAAAGGCAGAACCCAAAGCCTGGTTAGGATTTTTGAGGCTGTTGAGCATGGAAGGTCTCAGACTGAAGCCCTGTCCTCCTTCCTTCTGCTGGACGTCATGCCTCTGCTTTTCTGCTGCAGAGGAAGTGGAATCATTACAACTCACAGCAGGCAGGAAACGGAGCCATCATGCAGCCAAACCTTTGGTTGCAGGTGACGGAACCAAATCAACAAAGTCATAACTTCCTTTCTCAAGGTCACACATTGGTTATTAGAGAACAAGTCCTGGGCTTTAACCTTCCCCAAGTCACTTCTGCAGGGCTCTGGGTCTTCCCCGTCTCCTGAGGAGGTCCTCAGGCCTCAGAGAGTAACCAATAAACACTTAGTGATCACCTAAGGAGGGTTTCAAACTTTCTACCTGCATAGCGACTGGTACATTGAGCCCAGTACAGACATGAGGACTGCTATGCAAGACATCAACTGACTGATCTCGGCTCAAAAATCCACTGGTGTTTTTACTCTAAAAGAAGAGCTTTTGGTGGGATGGGGTTTGAACTCAGGGCTTTGCACTTTGCAAAGTAGGTACTCTACTGGTTGAGTCACATCTCCAGTCCATTTTGCTGTGGTTATTTTGGAGATGGGGGTCTTGTGAACTACTTGCCTGTACTAGGCTTGAACTGTGATTCTCCCAATCCCTGCCTCCCAAGTAGCTGGGATTACAGGCATGAGCCACCAGTGCCCAGCTTCATTGAGCAGATTTAAGTTTGCCCTTTATCTCTGCTCCACTTGCTTCTTATCAAAAAATTCTGAGCTGAAATCAGGAACAAACGTCTCTTCTGTACGTTACGTGGCTGGGGAGGCAGCCTGGCATGTGCAGAGAGGAGGCTGGCCTTTGGAGTCAGGCAGATCCCAGGCAGTGAAACTCTCGTCTCTTCAAGGGTGGCTGCAGTGGCTGGGCTGCTCTTTGCAGCAACCTTGTCTGACGTCCTATTAACATGGCTGCCATGATGCACATTGGGATTTCAGTACAGACCTCTTCATCAGGTGCTGTGGCACAGTCAGAGGAACCCCGAGCCTTTCTAGGGAAGGCTTTGAGCCACTGGCGTCCTCCTCCAAAAGAACCAAACAGTCAACAGGACACTGTCCAGGCTTTAAGGTGAAAGTTTTTTGGTTTTTTGGTGGTACTGGGGTTTGAACCCAAGGCTTCATGCCTGCTGGGCAGGCGCTCCATCACTTGAGTCATGTTGCCAGGCTTTTTATTACATTATATTATATACATTATATGTGTGTGTGTGTGTGTGTGTGTGTGTGTGTTTTTTTTTAAGATAGGGTCTCATACTTTTTGTCCAGGCCAGCCTTGGACTACAGTCCTTCTACCTATGCCTTCCAGGTAGCTGGAACTACAGATATGCACCAACACACCTGGCCTCAATGTGATTTTAGTAAGGATGTCTCATTATGCCTTCAATTTAAAAATTACATATAGTTAGGATAAAGCATAGCTCAGATTATGTAATCTAGATGTCCTATATTCTCAATACATAGCTTCCACACCAACATGTATATATGCCTCAGTTCTTTGTTGTAAGCTTAGAGGAATAGGGGGAAAATAAGGACAAGTTATTTTCCATCTAAAAATCAGGTTGGGCTGGATAAATGACATGAACTTTATCCTAAAAATTACATGACTGTAAGATGCAGAGGACAATATGTTTATCCACCAGAAGACAGAAAATTTCATCAGAACATTTTAATGGCACAACTGTGAAGTGTGGCCACCATTAAAAATATTATTGCTAACAACTAAACTTGTACTGTTTTTGCAAACTCTAGGAATAGGGCCTGGGTGTTGTCGTTCACCCTATAGCAAAAGAAACTGGTCAGGAACTATATGCCATCCCTCCAGCTGTTCACACTGCAGCCAGCAGTGGAGGGGTGTGGTCATAGCACCTTTCACTGACTATCAGGAAGCTATCTGTTTTCACGTGATCACAAATACACTCCATCATGAACGATACAAGTATAAAACTTATAAGCAGAGATAGATCTCAGGTTTAAGTAGGGTTTGAAATCAGCAAATCAAGTCAAGTTTATCCCCTTCTCTGCTTCCCAGAAATTGGCATTTGTCAATCTGCATCATCAGCCAGATTCTACAGCCCCACCACAAATCCACTGAATCAGAATTTCAGGGCCTGGGAATCTACACTCTGACAAGTCCCCAGATGGATTCTTATCCATGCTAAATTGCTGGTCACTTGAACAAACACAGCATAGCTATAACGGGAGGTATGTACTTTCCACGATAAAATGAATACATTAAGGAGTCATAAAGATAAGGCCATGAACAGCTGTAACCCCAGCTACTCAGGAGGCAGAGGTGGGACGGTCGAATTTTGAGGCTAGCAGAGATCTTATCTTAAAAACAAGCTGGTGGTACACGCTTGTGGTCCCAGCTACTTGGAGGTGGAGGTAGAAGATCATGATCTGAGGCTGAGAGAGACAAAAGCACAAGCCCCTGTCTGAAAAACAAGGTAAAATGCAGAAGGGCTGGGGGCAGGACTCATGTGGTAGAATGCCTGACTAGAAAGCATGAGGACCTGAGTTCAACTTCCAACATGTCAGGAAAAAAAAAAAAAAAAAAGCTAAGGCTTTGTTGTATGTAAAGGCACGTTCTATATCAATTTATATATCTATACAAGACAGCACGTTTACTAGTTGCCAATGCGGTATGGTTCCTGAGCAAACGATCTACCACCAATCTTCAAAACGAACCTACATGAGCTGTGGATGGAAAAAGTTAGAGTAACTCTGCTTAAGTCACAAGTCTGGAAAATGGCCCAGCTAGGTTGTGAGACTAGACTTATTTGACCCCAGTCTCCTCATTCCACTGTACTAAGCTCATATGCTTGTGAAAACACAGCCACAGACATGCCACCTGATAGCCATACGGTAAAAGGCCACGGAACTAAGTTACTTTTAGAAACTTTTTACAACAGCAGCACAGTTTTTTAAAACATCCATTCTATTAAGGGATACTTTTTTGGTCTGTCTGCTGATAATGGAATATCACATATTAACTACTATCAAAACCACATTTAATAGCCTGAATTTTAATAATGAGAAGTGTTTGAGGGCATGCAGGGTCAAATTTAAGAGCAATTCTTGATTTGTGCGAACTACAAACCTACACAAATGAAACCACTTAATATTCATTCTGCATGTCCTATCTTACAAAGGAAAGCAGCAACAAATGTATAATCTAACACTTGTAAACTTCTGCCCCAGTGAGCCCATCTCTCCGGTTCCAGGACCTGACTCCATCCACGGGGAAACCCCATTTCATGGGCTTCCAGAGTCTTGTCACTCTGGGGTTCTCCTTGCTCTCAGCCAGACTTCTCTCTGCTTCCCCAGATTCTTTGCGCTTTTCTCTTCTTACATTCTATATGCTATTCTTCCTTCACCTCTTGCCTTTTTCTTAGATGACTCCCAAACTAACCCTGTAACCCTGGCCTTCCTGTGGAGCCCAGAGCCCCACTGCAGGGGAGCCAGCATCTTCCACCGAGACTCAGCACCTCTGGCACAAAATTCCTCACCTCCTTCCCAGTTTCCTCTGAGGCACCACAGTTCTGAGAGCTCAGCGTTAGCATCAGCTGCTCCTCCTCCACTGAGACTTCTGACTGTTGGCTCCTTCCTGTGCCTCTGCTCCTTCTCACTTCACCACCGGTTGTCCTGAACGGATTCATCCACTCACGGCATCTCCCCACCCCCTTTTCCTTGGTCTCCTCGCCTCTTCTCCCAACCTCCCCTAAGCCTCGCACAGAGCAGACACAGCCATGACACCACCCTGTTCAAACAGCTTTCATGACACCCATTGGTGAATACATTCCAATTTCCTAGTTGGCATTTAAGACCATTATTTGTTCTGAACCAAATGTTCTGCCGTTTTATTTCCCCCTGGACGCCTGTATAGACCAGTTCTAACTCAACTGGACTTGACACTTTTCCCTGGATATACTCCATGCTTTGTTTTGTGGTTTTTTTCAAGCATTTTTATTAGTTGTACAGGGGGTTTCATTGTGACATTTCCATATATGCGTACGACAGCTCCACACTTCCTGGATCTCCCTCTATTCCTCCTATTTCAAACACCCTCCTCAAATTACCAGGATATCTTCTTTGCAATTACCAGATTGTCATTTCTGTACATTTTATTCTTTTCAACGACATGACAGGGTCTGAGAGGGAAGGGACCAGGTTTTATTTTTTTATTTTTTTGCTGCTGAATTCTCCATTCTTTCTAGCACAGAGTTGCACTTACGGTACTCAATAAATATTTGCCATATAACATTTACAGAACTCCTTAAAGTTCATAAAGCATGTCCATATTCAACAGCTCATTTGTTTTTATCTGTGACTTAAGTTGTTACAAGTAGCCTTCAAGTCTTAAAAATCTGATTTCAACTGCTTAATGCAATTCTCAGAGCAGTCTCTAACTTTCTACCTTGTAAATCAAACAAAAGTATTTCAATTGTTTTACTTTGAACATCCACAGTTCTGCAGTCCACAATATTAAGAGCAAAGGGCCCTCGCTCCGGGACCCTGTAACCTAAAGAGTCAAAGAAATTCCCTTTGCTAATCTGCTTTTTCCCCTCTGCCTGTGGATTAAGTTCACAAACAGCCTGGCCTCCATAGGTGACAGCAATGGAAAAATGAAAGTACAAAAGAGAAGCGAGAAATTCCTGCCTAAATGTTTTAAGATTTTTGAAAACCTTAAAGTTCCTTATCTATCCACCTGGAATTCTACAGTCAATCTCCAACATCCTCGGACTTGGGATTCCAGCAGATTAATAGAAAATCGCTCAGCTTAATACGTAATTCCTTACTAAGAGAATGGACATGAAGAAATACAATTGTAAACACATAATCATCTGTTTGAAGACCCAAGTTAATTTGTTGAGTGGAAAATAAATGAATTCAGAGGAGGCCTCACTATTGTTTATAAATTGAAATCGTAGGCTTAAGACATGGGTGGAAACATACGGGAAAAGGGAAAACAATGAAAAACCGAATTGAAAGTCAAGATCTTTGCTACGTCCATGACTCTAGTCTGTTCCTGTGACAGAGGCCACTCCAGGATGGCGAGAGGAGCAGGTAAGGGAGAATCAGTGACCTCTTTAGACTTTAGGTTACAGGCTCCTGGAGGGAGGGCCCTTTGCTCCAACTGTGTGCTCCTAGCACAATGCTTGGCAAACAGAACACACTCCAAAATGGAGGATGAGAGGCAAAGTCTTCCATGATCCGTCTCCATTTCCACAGTTCAGTTCCTCCTCACTCCCAGGAGGAGTAAATAAAAAAAAGACTGCCTATCACACAAAGGCACCCAGTGCTTGACAAATGGAACTTGTCATTGTCACCATCTGGGACTTTGTATACGCCTCCAAGTTAGAGTTTCGTATGTTGAGCTGCCTGTCCTTCTATGTGAGAACTGAAAGTGTCTGGGGTGGATTCTTCATGCTTGTGCACTCAGTGACTAGCATGGTGTCACCCACAGCAGGCTGGGAAGCTGGCTGCATGACTGGCCACCGGAGATTCACGTTCTAGCCCTGCCTCCACCCCACCCCACCTCACTGGGTAACTCTGAAGAGCCGTTTGAATTCTCTGGGCCCCAGGGATGTCAGTGGGTCCTTCCAGCTTTATGAAGAGCTATCTAAAAGCTCCCGCAGTAGCCGCTGGTCTAAGTGGCATGAGAAACCAGTGCTCCTGGCCCTCGTTCCCCTTCACCACAGGGGCCTTACATGTGGGGTCTCCTTAATAACAGGTTGCTGGAAAGCCACAGAAATCTTGTAATCTCCAAGCCTGGTTAACGGCTGTCGTGAATCGCACACCCTTGGGCACCCCCATTCCCTCAAAAACAACCATTTCCTATTTCACGCAGACTAAGGAGAGAGAGAAATCTGGTTACCTCAGTTGGAACACACCGGCCTTAACAGTTAGATTCTGTGCTTTGGAAGAATTCACTTGGAGATCCTGGGTTCTGAGTCCTCCATCCCCTCCACATCAAGACCTAAAAAAGAAAAAAGTACAGCGTCCCATGACTGGCAGCCAGAATTTGATATTTCAGCAACAGAAACTGCAACTAGTACCTATGAGTACCTACTAGAAGTCACATTATGCAGAAAGCGACTGCAGAAGGTAGCTCTCAGCTGCAGGCATTCTCTCATTTTACAGCTGCAAACCTGGAGGCTCTGAGACGTCACACAGCTGTTTTAAATGAGAGCTGGGCCTCACACCCAGGTTCGACTGATTGCAAAGCCTGCACAACTAACCTGCAAGTCAGAGTTGCCTTTCTGACAGTAAAACTTCCATTACATAAACTGAAAGCCAAAAGTTTCATTAAACAGTTCACCCTTACAAATGCTGCAGCGTATGTCTTTTTTCTACTGTACTAGATATTCTAAATCTTTAACAACAAAACAAGTTTTTTCCCCCAGTAGTGACCCGGTAAAAGGATTCCACAATCTTCTAATGGGTCCTCGCTCTTGGAAAAACACTGCCCTTAGACACAGTACGTCGCTAGAAGTTTCTCTGAAGCCACGGACAAACTCCCCCATTCTTTTCAGCCATGAGAATCTGACCGAGGAGTTGAGTTCCACAATTAAAAGCCTTCCACCTTTATAAAATATGCATAAGGCTCATCACACTTAACTATTAATGGATCCTTGCAAGGGATATTCGATTAGGCCCCACGTCCAGCACGGATGAGGCACTTACCCCACAGCACAAAGTGGAAAACAATCTCAGGTGGTTTAGGCGATTCTCTGCAAACAAGAGCTGGGTTGTCCGGACAGACAGACAGACAGACCGGACTGCGGGAGTGGGAGGCTGAGGTTGGCAATGCCCGGGAGGGGGGGGGGCGGGCAGGGCCTGCCTTTGCACGTCGCCCGGTTCAATTCCAGGGGCTTCTGGTGTTGCACCAGGATATCCTCCCGCCCTGCTGAGGTCAGGTCTGGGGTCCAGGTCGCAATGCCAGGGGACAGGAAGTGCGACAGTCTGCGCCTGCTGGACCCAAGCCTCCCCCTCCCTCCGCAGCGCGTCCCCAACCCCAGGTGCGCAGTCTCCGCGGGCCCTGGCCGGGCACCTGCGGGCGCTGGCGGGGTGGCAGCTCGGCTCGCGGGCATCCGCGGCGCTCCCGGCCCTGCGCGCCCGGGGACACGGGGGACCCGAGGGACCCGAGGGACCCGGCCCCTCTCGCCCTCCCCGCCCCGCGCACTTACGGGGCTCGGCTCCTGCGCGGCCGGCGCGCGTCCCCCCCACCCCCCACTGGGGTCCATGGCGCTTCCGGACCTGCGAGTCCGGCCGTGGCGCCGCACAGCACCGCCCAGAAAATGGACGCCGGCGGCTCGGCTCGGCTCGGCTCGGCTGGCCCGGCTCGGCGCGGCGCAGTGCGGCGCGGCCCGCCCCCGGCGCGGGGCCCGTGCGGGAGGAGGTCGGCGGCCCGGCCCGGCCCCACGGCCCCGAGCTGCGCGCACCGCCACCGCGGCCGGCCAGGCCTCGGCCCAGGCCCCCGGCGCCACCCACGGGCAGCGGCCCAGCCTCGGCCTCCTGGGGCCAGCTCGGCCCAGTCAGCGCCTCTAGCCACAGAACCTAGGCCCTGGCACAACCGGGCCTGGCACCCCGTGACCCAGGGACCCCGCGCAAGGTTCCCAGAGAGTCCTGTACACTTGCAGTTGCACCCAGCTGTCAGGAACAGGGTGTCTGTCATCTGTACGTTCCCGAGGCTGTCGGAGAGGCCTACATTGCCTGTCCATCCTGGTGTCACAGCTATTCCACCAAAAGTGCAAGGCCACCCCTTTAATAAGGGCACTGACTGCCACCAGGATCCTTCTTTTCCCTTCCAGACTGCAGAGTCTTCACTGAAGGCCTTGTGGAGCTGATTGTCTAAGTAAGGCACCTGTGTATTTGGTGTTCCCTTGTTTCACTTTTATTGTTACTTTTTAGCCGTACTGGGGTTTGAACTCAGGGCCTCACGCTTGCTAGGCAGGCGCTTTACCACTAGAGCTCTTGCGGGATATTCAAGCAGGGACATGGGACACCAAGGCTTTGCAGGAAGCAATATTTATTAACACGCCGGCAGGGGCTCAGCGGATTCCCATCCAAAGGCTGAGCCCGAGAACAAAGGGGCCTTGCCTTATATTCCCTGGCAAGCAGGTTACAGAAGCAAAAGGCGAGGTTTAACCCCTATATGGTTGTGCGCAGCTCTATTGGCTGCTTTAACTCAGTGCACGTGACCTTCCTCACGTTCAGATTTTTTCATCTCTCTACTATGCCGTCTCCTCCTCCCTGCTACATTATTGGCTGTGCTCCCTTTGATGCTCGGACCCACCTAGGGTCAAAAAGCACCATCCTGATTCAGGGGTTTGTGTTTCCACAGCATCATTACATGGGCGGCTGTTCTACAGTGGCCTCCATGAACGGTCCTGATTGATCGCAATACCAAGGGAACCAAGCAGGGCACTATTAACCATGCTCCCGAGATAGGAATCACCGCCCCACAGGGTCTTGAATCGCCCAAGGGCAGAGAACCGGACCTCCAAACAAGTCATTGGGATTCCATCCTCACCAAGTCTGGAAGGGGACGTGGGCAATTTTTTAATTTTGTCTGTGATTTTTTTTTTTTTTAAATCATCAATCAGTAGGCAACAGTTACTTAGATTGAACTTTCCACATACACCTCCCTCAGAGGCCAGTAAATAGTCCAAGGCCAGGCAGTTTTGGTATATTGCATTGCAGCACCTTTGTGTGCTGTTTGGCCAGTATGTCAAGGTCCTTGCAGTTTCATTAGTTATAATTTCAGCTACTGCCTGGTGACAAATAATGCAGTTGAGCATGTAAATCAGGGTGCAATAGCCCCAGGACCCATCTTCTACCCAAGTGGCAGGACCACAATACTGGATGACTCACTCAGGAGGCCATTCATTATCCTTCCAATTGCCAATTTGTAAGATACTTCTTTCTATTTGTTTTTTCTCCATGTATGGGAACTCCCAATTTTTCACCTTGTGCAAGGGGAAGCAAGAAAAAGGACGGTCTAATTGTGCCCAGTACACAAGACCTGAACCAACTTCTGGGTAGCACTGTATGAGTTAGTTTCTCACAGATCCAATATAGCCCCCCCCCGGCACCTACCAATCTATGTTCTCGGTAAGATTGTCCCAAGCTGCCTAGAGCCAGAGAAGTTCATCAATGGGTTGGGATTGGGTTCCGTGTGGTTTAGAGTTCCCCACCATTGAGTCTTCTGTGCGGTGTCATTGTAAAACTTTTGTCCTAAACAAGTTAAATCCCCCACTAGGGTGGAGAACTGGCCTTTTGGGTGAGAAATACAGTAATTTCTGATGATGTAAGTTTTTAGGAGCCAGATGCTTTTCCTGTGGCTGGGGAAGGTGGTCTCATTAAAGGGCTCCCACAGGTTTAGCTCCTTACCTTCCCATAGCCAACAGTCTCCCAGGTTGGTTCCCCACAAACATAACACAAGGTGACATTGAGTATCTGGACTATGGACTCGGCTAGTGAGAGGAATAGATTTCTGGCCTCGGTAGAGATAGAAAATTCACTCCCCATTTCCTCATAAAAGGAGTAAAAAACTTGGTATGAGGAACTCTCATGGGTAACAGTTACTAATTTAAGGTGCATCAGAGTCCTGGGGTCATGGCCCTTTCCATCTATCCTTATACTAACTATATGTCCCTGTTTCCAATCAGTGGGCTTAAGTACAGTAAAAGTCACAGGGTTACAGGTACTAGGGGTACAGTCAGGGGCAGCTGTCGCCCTGCAAAGGAGGGCTGTGTATTCTGTCTTTTGTGTAGACGTTCCAACCGGCAGCGGGCAGGCCTCAATGACTGAGTCCATAGTTACCACCACATACCCAGCAAAGCACACACCATCCTAGATAAAACTGCTGTCATCTGTGAAATAGTCAACATCTGGATGGTCAATAGGCTGATTAGTTAAAGACCTGGCCAGCTCGAGAAAACCTCACCCATAACCTCTAAGCAGTCATTCTCCCGGAGGGGGGGGCCCAGGTCAACCGGCAATAGGGTGGCTGGGTTTAGAATCTTAACAACATCTAGCTGGATGTGTGGGTTTTCATATAGCATACTCTGGTATTTGACCATCCAAGAGTTGGTCAGCCAATAATTTCCCTTACACTCCTTGAGAGTCAGGATGAAGTGGGGAACCTGGGCAGTGAGTTCTTGCCCTAGGGTGAGCTTGTCTGCTTCAGTCACCAGGGCAGCAGTGGTGACTAGGGCATGCAGGCAAGGCAGCCAGCCTCAGAAATGGCAAAGAGTTTTTTTGACAAGTAAGCCAGCAGATGATGCCAGGAACCTAGTAGCTGAGTTAGAAACCCAACAGCTGTCCCCTTTCACTCATGGACATACAGGAAAAAGGGCTTCGTCACATCCAGCGGGCCTAGAGCAGGGGCATTTGTGAGCGCCCTCTTGATTCTTCTAAAGGTTTTTTCTTGTTCCTCTCTCCATATTAAGTTTTCCTGTTCTCCCTGCTTTGTGGCTTCATAGAGGGGTTTAGCCAAGAGGGAGTAGTTAGGGATCCAGATTCAGCAGAAACCTGAGGCTCCCAAAAACTCCCTGATTTGCTGACAGGTCTTGGAGGCTGTACTGTTCCTCTTGAGGCTGAGCTTGCACTGTCCCTATGACAGGTGAAAACTAAGGTATTTGACAAATCTGGGCCTTTTTTCAAGACTTTGTATCCTGCCTCCCATAAAGAAGGAGACGAGTCCCTTCCATACAGTCCTCCTGAATTGGTCCAGCCAGCAGGAGGTCATCTACATACTGGAGGAGTGTGCAGCCATGCTGGCCGACTGAGAAAGCTTTGAGATAGGTTGCCAAGGCAGTTCCAAAAATAGTGGGTGAATTTTTGAAACCTTGTGGCAATTGAGTCCAGGTTAGTTGCCCCTTCTCTCCACTGTTAGGATTTCCCATTAGAAGGAAAAAATAGGCTGGCTCTGTGGGGCCAGGCAAATGCAGAAAAGTGCATCCTTACAATCTAGGCAGGTAAAAAACTTTGCCTCAGTTGGGACAAAGCCTAAAAGCATGTAAGGATTCAGAACTATGAGGTGCAAAGTGACAGTTGCCTGGAGGTCCTGAACTGGCCTGAAATCCTCATCCCTGGTTTCTGGATAGGTAATAATGGGGTGTTCCAGGATGACTGGCAAGATCAGAGGATCCCATATTTCAGGAGTCTGTCAAAATGTTTTTGAATTCTGACCTGGGCCTTGTGGGGAATGAAGTGCTGTTTTTGGCTGACAGTCATGGCTCCCAGTTTTAGTTCCACCACTATCGGGGGCAGGTTTTGGGCCAGACCTGGGAGATTATCTTCAGCCCATATACCTGGAACCTTGAATCCAGGAATCCTTCCTGGATTCTCAGGAGGCCTTCCCTTAGGGGCATAGAGTTACCATTCTTCTTATGTGACTGTGAGGGTTAAAACCCTTACCTCAGGTCCTCTCAGTTTGAAGGCTGCTGTATCATCTGAATCAAAAATTATGTGTGCCCTCAGTTTGCATAATAAGTCCCTGCCCACAGGGTAATCAGGGAGATAAAGGAATTCATGCCTTACTCCATGATTCCCAAGATCGCATTGTCTAGATACTTGGAAGGGGTGGTGGGCCCAGTTCCCTGTAGCCTTGATAATAGTTGCATGCTTCTGTGAAAGGGGGCCCACTGGCTGAGTCACAACTGAATGTTCTGCACCCATATCGACCATGAGATCGATGGGATGGCCCCTATCTGTATTTGGACCATAGGCTCCTGGGGGCCCAGTAGAATGGAGCCTGGTCTGTTCTAGTCTTCCTCAGTTCTCTAGGGCAGCCAGACTTACGAAATTTTCCACCCAGGGACCAACCTCTCTGCAGGTAGGCTGATACTTTCCCTCAACAATTTGGCCTCTGCCTCTGGTCTGGGTGGCCTTCTGGGAAGCTGTGGTCCATTGGAGACACTCATTCTTCCAGTGGCCTTCCTGACGACAGTAGACACATTGATTTCACCCTAGTTCCTCCCTAGGGCCAGGGTGTCCTGGGGATGCCAGTTGCCATCTATGGTGATTGCCTCTGCTTGGACTGGGGCCCATCTGACTGTCCAACAAGGGCTGCTGCAAGGAGGTCCACTTTCCTTTTAATCTTCCTGTCGGTCTCCCATCTTGCCTCCTGATCTCGATTGACAAAAACCTTTGTGGTCACCTCCAGAACCTGGCTGGCGTTCATTCTTGCAAATTCCTCCAATTTCTGTAATTTTTGCCTTCTGTCCCCTTGAGCCTGGCCAACAAAAGCAGTGTTTATCATTCACTAGTTTTCAGTGGCTTCTGGATCAAAAGGAGTGTCCAAGCAGAAGGCCTCACACAAATGCTCATGAAACTGCTGGACTCTCATCTGGCTCTTGGAGGACTGCTGATGTTTTGCTCAGGTTCATGGCTTTTTCCCTCCTTCCTTCATGCCCCCTAACAGTGCCTCCTGGTATCATTTGCTTCACTGGTAGTCTTGTCATTATTAGGTCCCAGTGGGGGTTCTCCTCA